ATTAATATCATGTTTTCATCTTAAACATTTATTAGTATTTAGTTCATATGTTTTTAGAGGTGTGGGCAAATCTCATATTCTATCAGATTATAAATTAAGCTATAGCTCAGGGAAATTAATTATGATCTACGGAGGTGTCCCTAAGTAGCATATGAATCTCATTCATTTACCTTACTTTGCTCGCGACTGTGAGAAAAGACCCATTGTCTGGCCACCAGTGAAAAACTTACATTTGCGACGTGACTTAATCATTCATGTGGCGAAGTGCATGTTCTAGGGTGTTAAGCCTGCTGAATTCAATGATTTAACCATTTTAGTGTATCTTACTGAGAAAACTCAACTGTTAGCCACAACTGCAGCATAGAAAAAGATGTGCAGTTTTTGTAAAGTGAGAAAAAATTAAGAAACTTGATAACTGACTTGCTAAGGTTGAAGCTTCACTATTTGAAACACCAATCAGGAGCAGGCTTTGTGAATAACCCCCTGGCTGATAAGTCCCATGACTGGAGAAAGTGGAGAAGCAGAGCTTTTTCACTTTTTAACAGGTCCCCAGCCACCCAGCTACCTGCAGCACCTTTTCCAAATTGATCTGATCCCTCTTCAACAGTTCACTTTCCTTCCTTGACCATACCAATCCATGTAAAAGCTTCGATTCTGGCAAATTTTGATTCCTCCTCCGAGTGTTCAGGGCTGGCAGCTGTCCAGGTGACTCCACGGAGGCCTGCACTTTCTAACAAAAGGAATGCTGCCGCAAGAAGTTGGTTACCAGGTGTGGCATGAAGTTAGTGAGCCGGAAAAAAGGGATTTATCAGCCATTTAAAAAGGAGGGCAGAGGGAAGAAAGGAAGAAAAGAAAAGAAACCAGCCAACAGTCAGGAATGACACCTAAGTCTACTTCTATCAATCTGAACTATGCTTTGGAGTGAAAAGTCTTTAAAAGAAAAATCATGATGGTCAGATTTCAGTTGCAGAAAAGTATGCAAAGCTGAGAAGTTTGGATTTTCTGGAGGCAAGGGGTGGAGGTCTCCAGGAGACATCTCTCCAGCAAAACAGTAAGATGAGATTTCAATAATATCTGCCATTTTGGGTTCATTCTTTTTAATGCATTCTTTTTTCATCTCTGAGTTGACTCAGAAAGGCCTCATGATTCTCAGAAGGTTGTTGAATTTGTTTGTATAATTATTTTAACCTAACAGTTTTAGTAGATAACTTTTACACACCACACATACTAATGCATTTTGTTTAAGCAAAATTGAGAGAAAGTAGATAGTCTTAGTAGATACTCCCCAGAGCTTTTGTGTAAGCCTGGATACTAACTTCATGTTCAATACAAATCAATGGAGCCAGTGCACTTTAGGGTACTCATTCCCTAAGGAGTCACCAGTAGAATTATCTATAGCCCTTAAAAAAAATCACAATGAGGCTAATGAAAATTTTTTCTAAGTGAAATCTGGATAAAACACTAGGCTTACCAGCACATTTTACACGCATGTTGTACAAAACTCAGAATTTTTTTTTAAGAACTATTTAATATGTAAGAGGACTTTGTAACAGGGTTAAATTGTTTATACCAATAGAGAAGTATATATTATATGTCTGCAACTTCAAAATCATTCTGGGATGACATTAAAACTTAGAGAATTTTTTAATATCAGATACAGATGAAAAACCTGACAGTCTTTGGATTGGAAATAACTTGTGGGGGTTTTCATTAAAGTTGGGTGCAGCTTGCTGCATTTTGGTTAGTTGGACGTCTTCAGCAATTTTTCAAATGTTTTGGGTTTGGCAAAGTCCAAAATGTTTTTTGCCAAGACCCTCTTTTCCCCTTATTTTTTAAACCCGTGTGAAATTCAAGGATAACTTAATCCATATGTGTCTGATTCATTTACACTTAACTCATCAAAATGTTATTTTGTAAGACCTATTTAATATCCAAGAAACCTTTTGAGCCTTTTTAAGACAAGTCTTTTGTCTTTGAACCAGCAAGTTGCATTTTTCCATATGAATGGGGCTTGGACCTTGAAAGATTGAAAAAAAGTTGATTTTCAACTTAGATTCTTCAAATTTCAAGTAGAATCAAAACTTGGTATTCCAGTTACTACTTGAGTACTGAAAAAGGTCATTTTTAAAATATAAGTCAGAGGAAGTGGAAAAAAATTTCATGTCATGTAATTTTGGGGAAAGACCATGTATGGAAATTGCATCTTAGGAATATTAAAGAAATGAAAATTATTCATAGTTTGATTTGTTTTAATCTGTAATTTAAATGACTCTATTTTATGTATGTGGGTGTATTTTCTAAGAGTAACCTATGGGTCATCAGTAGGGGGAGGGAAAGAGTAATTTCATTTTTTATTGTCAAAATTTTCTTAGAGTCAACTCATTAATTGTTAATTTTTATAGTAACATCTATGGTGTTAATAAGATATCCCAGGATAAGGGGAGTTGACAATTGGCAAGAGTTGTATGTTAAGAGATTTCTGAAAAATTGGGGCCCATATGTTTTTAAAATCCTGTGTGATTTGAAAGAATGTGGTAGAATTATGAATCTGGCAAGAAATAGCACCATGGATCAAAAACATTGTTTGAGAACAAAAATCCGGAGAGGCTAAATGGAACCCAAGTGTAAAAAGCAAAATCTCTATGAGCCTTTGTAAAAGGATCTAGTGAAAACTTTCAGAGGCTTCTATTCATATTTGTTTAGAAGTGGGCAAAGAAAAGCCATCGCCATAACTGCTAGTGAACATCCAGTCCATGTCATGGTAACTAGTTGAAAATGTAGTACTCCAGTGGCATTTCCAAGTTCAGCACTTCTATAAAGACCTGCTAGCACAAAAAATGCTTTTTTTAATGTACTGCATTGTTGTGTATCCCCAATTGAACAACCTTTTGAGTGGACCCCGTTTTTACTAACGTAAACATTCTGACGAGTATCCAAAGAAATGACCTTTGAGTGAACCTCTAACCTTCCCCGTAATTATTTGTTTGAAGACAGTGTGGAGTTCTCCTGCTGAGAACTAAGAACCATGATGCCTTGCAGCTCTGTGAGCAAGGGAGTGTTGGGGGGACTGGAGAGAAAGACATAAATAAGAGAACAACCTCCAGATGTAAAGAATAAAAGAGTAAAAGGATGAAATTAAAAAGGGAAAAAAATAGCAATTCGTTTTATCTAAAGAGTTTCCCTATAGGAAGAAAAACAACAGGATTAGTAGCACATAAAAAAGGGTAAAACCCCTGCTATTTGTGTCCTCCATTAGAAACTTCAAGGAGAAAAGGCTTCTCTGGCTTTCCCGAGCATCTCTGTTGGTCTTAACCTGAGCTGATAAAAAGAGTTCCTGGGGGTGGAAATATCAGGTCAGTCCTCCTTGGTCCAGTAATGCAGTGGGGAAAGAGTAGATAATTAAGTTCTTTTTGTGATTTGAGAGATTCTTCTGGAAGTCTTTGTGATCTGGTCAGATATTTCTCAGCAACCCTTCAGGTGACAGGTGAGAATAAATATGCAGTTCCGACTCCTTTTGTTTTCACCTCTACTTAGCCTGTCACTTTCTTCCTCAGTCCTTAGGGGGTGTAACATTTTTGACAACAGAGCTATACTTTCTTAAGTAATGAAGAAGTTCATTGTTTTGCAAACAAACACCACATGCAAAAGGCTCCTTTGGTTTTTTCGCAGCTATTATTCCTCAGCCTAATTGTATTCCCACCAGAGTGCTCACAGGAGGCCTGAGCGAGTGTAGACTGTCCTCCACAGAAGGGACTTCAACTTCATAGGAACGTAGGGCTTCCAACACACACTAGAAGTTTTCTGGCTGATTTCAAAGAATGTTGTCAGTTCCTACCTGTGGCCTCATGTGGACTCATTAATAATTAAGTCCCCCTACACTTAAGATTTGAAACTAGAAATATTGAAAAATTTTATCAATGGTTATATTTTTCAGGAACAGCTAGCTATATGCTCCCTGCCTCCTCAGAATGCAGGGCCAATGAATCCTGTGCATAAGCTTAGATGTGTGGGGAATACACATCATTAAATGCACAGGGACAAGGGTAACTCGCAAATGGTAGAAAATTGTTTTGTTTTTATTAAATTTGGGGAAATAAAGGAGATTTCTTATCATCTTACTCTGTTTATACATGAATATTTGATGGGCATTATTAAACATTAAAGTAACATGAAGTAGGCACTTATTTTTGGATTTCCAACAAAATTAGATCCAGGCTTCTTAGATGAAATAACTGCTTCTCCTTTACATTCCTGCGATTCAGCCACCACCTGATTTGAAAACGTTTCTTGGGCTCTAATATCAACCATGTGTACCTGAAGCTCTGTCTTTCTAGTGGGTTGAAAGGTGGCTGAGTTTATGGTTGGCAGTTACCTTATCCGCTGCCCTGGGTGTCCCAGATTAGGCTGGAAAGGCCGCCCCCAGCTGGCACTGACCTCTGAATGACCCCTAACTTTACAGGCTTAAACTGCAGGAGTTGCCGAAGAGCAGAAGTCTTTCTGGCCAGCACTTATTACTGCTGTGTTGGTGATAAAACTTCAGACAGCCTAATTGATGGCTTCGGTGACCTAACAATACCTTGTGAAAGCCGAATGCCAGAGCCTGGTCTCCATTTATGACCAGCTGCAAGGGGAAGCCGGGTCTCCCTATGATGGGGAGTCTAGGGAAAGGGGGGAAATCTTCCAGCCTGTGAACTTTAACCAGATTTCTACTCATTCAAGAAGCAGAAGCACAATCGCAAATTAATAGAAGTTTTCCCATGGAGAACTTTTTTCCCTCCCTGAGCTTTTTTAGCAAGTTGGCTTGGAGTTAGCTAGGCAGTGACAGTGGAGATGATCCGGTCAACTGTTTTTGAACTCTGAAAGGGAAATTTGACTTTAAGTTAAAAAGATAATTTTCAGTAGATGTTTGACTGCATTGCTTTCTGTGCAGCATTCATGGAAAGGTGTTCGCAGAGCACAGAAACTGAGTTTGATGACTGGACTTCTCTGTTCTGTTTCAGGTTCATTAATGCCCGAAGAAGAATAGTACAGCCCATGATTGACCAGTCAAATCGAGCAGGCAAGTTCCAACTAGTATCTGTATTCACGTCCCACAAGCACATATCCTCATCAAGTTATACTTCAGAGGTTTCATCACCTGGTAAACAAGGGCTTCCACCAGGCATTCTGGGAGAAATTTTTTTTTTTCTTAATGTCCCCAGAATTCCGCTCTAGGAAGCAACTTCACTAATTGGTGCTAATTGGAGATTTCCCACCCTGACTCTCCTGAAACCGCTTTTTATTTTCTTTCTGAATTGGTAATTGGGCACAAGTATTAGTGTCACAAGCAGTCTGTTTGACTGTGAGCTCTGGAATTACTCCTTGCTTGTCTGCGTCCAATCATTAGCACACTCTCATTTTCTTGTTACCCACAACTCCTCGATGGATGCTTTGCTTTCACTCCAGTAGCATCTACTGTTAAACTCATGGCATCCATTCATTTGCTTTGACTATTCATAATAGTCTATCAAAGCCTGACGTGCTGCATTGCCAGCATTATTTTTTATTAAAAGAATATTACCTTTGTTTAAAATGCTTCACATCCATCCCACTAAAATACATGTGGGTTTTTCTCACAGTCTCTCTCCATTTCTCTAAAACAGCTATTATATGATACTGTCAGAATCACCCTGGTGTACTCCTAATCATTTTACTTTGAAATAGGCATTTCCTTAGTTTACTGAGGAGTTGTGGTCTCCTGCAATGAGGTTCATAGGAAAAAACGGTTTTTCTTGTGGTAATGACTGTTGTCACTAACAAGAGTGTTAAAATCAGTGGAGATTTTAACTGTGGCCTCACTTTAAAGAATTTATGAAAATTAGTCATCTTTTGGCAAAATTTTACCAATAATGCTGAAATATTATTCCACTATTGGAGGCCAGGGGTCCTGTTGGACTAGAATATAAAAACAATCAAAATATTATATTTACCATGTTTACATGTTCTTAGGTATGTGTAGAAAGGCAAATATTTGATTGAGTCTATTTAACTTTGTAAAATTGTATTCGAATTTCAAATGTCTGTGTATGATGTGAGAATTTCTTATTAAGTCACCAGAGATGGCAGGATCACAAAAGCCTATCTAAATGGCACAACGCAATATTTATACATTGGATATCCCTACCTTTCCTAGCCTTCTTCCTCCTAATTGAGAGAGATATGTAAGGAAGCAAAGGCTGCAGAGGACGACCCGCCTGTTAAACTGGCTGGTGAAATCTTTCCTCCAGACCCTTTCTTTTTTTTTTTTTTTTTCTCCAGACCCTTTCTTAAAGCTACTTACACACCTTAGCTCAGTCGTAAGGATACACAAAAAAACCACACCCCCATTTTTAAAGTGCCAACCACATTGTTGCTGTAACGTTTCAGTGCTGCAGCGGGCTCCAGACCCTTTCTTAAAGCTACTTACACACCTTAGCTCAGTCGTAAGGATACACAAAAAAAACACACCCCCATTTTTAAAGTGCCAACCACATTGTTGCTGTAACGTTTCAGTGCTGCAGCGGGAACAATTGCTGATTGTTTGGTATATCTTTTCTTCTTTCTCCTCTGTGTCCTCGAATGACTACAATCAGGTTTTCTTCTTGATCCTTCAGTGAGCCAAGGAGCAGCGTATAGTCCAGAGGGTCAGCCCATGGGGAGCTTTGTGTTGGATGGTCAGCAACACATGGGGATCCGGCCTGCAGGTAGGTTTGCTCCTCTCTCCTCTGGGCTTCCCTGGGAAGTGCCACCTTCTCCACCACTTCCTCATCCACTCTACTCTCCCACTCTTGTGGTGGGTTCAACATTTGCCTGCTGCCTGCTCTGCCTGCTTTCTTTACATTGGGAGGGGGAAAAAATCTTCTTTGAAGAAGTAAACATTTTACAACAGTACCATTTGACTCTGCCCCATACACATCCTTTTTCTTTTTTCTTTTTAAACCAAGGCAATAAGTGAAAAGGAATCTGAGTTTCCTCCTATTTTTTCACCATCAATTATTGCTGATTTTCCGGCCTCTTCTCGGATTTTATCTCCTTTCTAGGACCTATGAGTGGAATGGGCATGAATATGGGCATGGATGGGCAATGGCACTACATGTAACCTTCATCATGTAAAGCAATCGCAAAGCAAGGGGGAAGTAAGTACAGTCGGGTGCGATCTGTCTTCACTATCACTTCAGAGACTTTATTTTATTTTTTATAATTTGCCCCCATTTTATTTTTCCTTGCCCATAACTGCATGCCTTTCCAAACTAAGGACCTGTTTTTAAATATATATCAGTCATCTCTGAAGGCACAGATGACATTGATGCACACTTTTGAAAAGGCCAACTGACAAGCCTGCTTGTGTTTTGAGCAGGCGGGACTGCCTTTTAGCCTATTTACTGTGGCCCCAATGTGCACAAACACAGACATCAGGCAGATATTGGACATTTAAGAATAAAAATAACGTCTTGGGGGCACCAGTTGACTGAGAGAAATTAAGCAGGCTTCAATGAAGCGATAAAAAAAAAGGAAAAGTAGAACTGTCCTTTGAGTGACATAAATCTGTCAGAATACGATTGATGCCCAAATTATCTTATATGCAAAGATGAAATGCTGCAGTTCATTATGCCTAGTCTAGATATATGACAGCAGTGACACCATTGATTCTTCACTAGGGAGTCGGTGTGTTTTGATTATTTTTTACATGTGCCTACTGACTTTCGACATGAGACAGAAAGACAGGAAAGTCAGTCAATAAATTTAAAGGGAAAGACATTTAGGAGCAACTGAATATGAAGGAATGGATTTTTCACTGAGGCTGAATGGCTGCAGTTGGATTAAGAAACCCATTAGACTTTAAAGCTTCAAGTGTTTTTGACATCTGAAAAAAATTCTGAGTCTGCCAACAAGATATATCCTTTGCTGAAGACACCAGAGCATAAAAAAATTCATATAACATTGAAACTTCCTTGTTTAATGAGGCTGAATATAACAACACGTACCTTGATTAAATCATTCTCTATATGTAAATAGAGGCCAACATTTTATATGAGATCTCAGGGGGTCACCATGGCACACCGTTGATGAAGCCAATTTCCTTCCTTCCTTCCTTCACTAATGCAGTCAAAAAATGTAGAAAGCAATGTTCCCTAAAACAGCTATAGAGAAAACATTTGCTCAGCTTGGATAATTCTTAATATAGGCCATATAATTTCTAGCCTATTTAATTACATAACATATTTTATGCTTCATGACCAATTACATTAATAGCTTAATACAGAAGAATATTATCCTCTCTTGATTTGATTATGCAGCCACACAATATGGTATATTTGGTACTTAATTATCATCATCCATTGAGCAGGCTGCTGTGGTAGAATAAACAGAGAGCTGGGACTATGCAGGCTGTGTTATTGTCTTTAGATGGTTTTGCCACTTCTGTTAATAATGGACTGCGGATCTACTTAACAAAATGACTGCAGCATATAAGCCTTTAGATTACCAGCTTACAGTGTCAAAAACATCTGTTCAGCTTCCCAACTATATGTACTAGAGGTTAAATAGAGGTGAATAAAGCTGTCCTTTTAGTTCTGGGGATGTGCAACAGTAAACATACTATAACGTTAATTCAATGAACCAGGTAACATGCAAGAGAAATCAGAATCCTTCGATCGCTGACTTCCCAACATTTAACTCACAACATCAAATTTTGTGTATCTCAGTTAAGAATTTCTAAATGTGTTTTATTCCTAATATCAAAGAATTATTTGGGGGGATTTTCAGAAATAAACTACTGGGCATGTCATATGACCTTACATTGACTTCTTACCTTTGACCTTTACGATCTCTTGGGTGTACTACTACAAGAATGCCTCTAATTCAAAAGGGGAGCTTCATTTTAAATATACATAAAAACCTATCCCTTCAAAACGAATATGCCATGTTTTGTATAGTAAATTTTTATGAAGAAATATAGATATGATAAGATGTCAATTTTATGTTATTTTCGTATCTGCAGTTTCTGTCCATATCTATAAATGCAACAAAGAAAAATAAATGATATATCAACAGTTAACTGATGAAATTCCACTCAGAATTTATATTCTTATTGCATTTATCAAAGAAATGTACTGAATACCATTTTGAAAAACAGTTCCGCTTTATGACATTTAGTTGCATTAAATATTTAGTTCTGTTGTGTTGCATTATACTGCTGTGCGATGAAATTAAATGCAAACTACAATTTGAATGTCTGCAAACATTGGCAAGAATCTGCAGCTAAATTTAGATATAAGATTTGCAGTGTCTGTTGTTTTTTTTTTTCTTTTCATCTTTGATGGGTAAAGTATAAAAATGTTTAGGAATTTGACCCGCTTTCTTTTTCCCTCTCTATTTTCAGGTTTGCAGAGCATGCCAGGGGAGTACGTTTCTCAGGGTGGTCCTATGGGAATGAGTATGGCACAGCCAAGTTACACTCCTCCCCAGATGACCCCACACCCTACTCAGTTAAGACATGGACCCCCAATGCATTCATATTTGCCAAGCCATCCCCACCACCCAGCCATGATGATGCACGGAGGACCCCCTACCCACCCTGGAATGACTATGTCTGCACAGAGTCCCACAATGTTAAATTCTGTAGATCCCAGTATTGGCGGACAGGTTATGGACATTCATGCCCAATAGTATAAGGGAACTCAAGGGAAAAGGAAACACACGCAAAAGCTATTTTAAGACTTTCTGAACTTTGACCAGATGTTGACACTTAATATGAAATTCCAGACAGCTGTGATTATTTTTTACTTTTGTCATTTTTCATCAAGCAACAGAGGACCAATGCGACAAGAACACAAATGTGAAATCATGGGCTCACTGAGACAATTCTGTCCATGTAAAGATCCTCTGGAAAAAAGACTCCGAGAGTTATAACTACTGTAGTATAAACATAGGAACTAAGTTAAACTTGTACATTTCTGTTGATCACTCCGTTATGTTGCCTCAAATAGTTTTAGAAGAGAAAAAAAATATATCCTTGTTTTCCACACTATGTGTGTTGTTCCCAAAAGAATGACTGTTTTGGTTCATCAGTGAATTCACTATCCAGGAGAGACTGTGGTATATTTTAAATTGGTTGGGCCAATGAGAAAAGAGCTACGCTGGAGACCATGATGAACGCTTGGCTGAACCTCATCACCTGAACTCCAGCTTCAAGAATGTGTTTTCATGCCCGGCATTTGTTCCTCCATAAATGTGTCCTTTAGTTTCAAACAGATCTTTATAGTTTGTGCTTCATAAGCCAATTCTTATTATTATTTTGGGGGACTCTTCTTCAAAGAGCTTGCCAATGAAGATTTAAAGACATAGCAGGAGCTTCTTCCAGGAGTTCTGAGCCTTGGCTGTGGACAAAACAATCTTAAGTTGGGCAGCTTTCCTCAACAAAAAAAAAAAAAAGAAAAAAGGTTAATAATGGTCATTGCACCATTACTAGAACTTTATCAGAAACTCAAAGCTTGGGGGATAAAAAGGAGCAAGAGAATACTGTAACAAACTTCGTACAGAGTTCGGTCTATTAATTGTTTCATGTTAGATATTCTATGTGTTTACCTCAATTGAAAAAAAAAAAGAATGTTTTTGCTAGTATCAGATCTGCTGTGGAATTGGTATTGTATGTCCATGAATTCTTCTTTTCTCAGCACGTGTTCCTCACTAGAAGAAAATGCTGTTACCTTTAAGCTTTGTCAAATTTACATTAAAATACTTGTATGAGGACTGTGACGTTATGTTAAAAAAAAAGGTGTTAAGTCACAAAATGCGGTAATAAATATTTCATTTTTGATTTTTTGTTAGGCTTTTGTGTCTTTAATGGTTTTAAGGCAAGGTCGCACAATGCCAACTATATACCATGTTAAAAATAGGTTATGGTTTTTCCCCTCAGAAGTTGAGTATATTTGAAACTTGCCTTACCAACAATTTTTAAGATAATTGCCTATAGACTTTCAGTATATATTTGGCCTACAAGTTCCACCAGCAGAAAACTTCTAAAGGTATGAATTCGTGTGTATATTATGAGCCAGGCTGAAAGATCACCTTCAACATGCCCAATCTCCTTTCTAGATGTATGACATAAAAAAAATCTACTTTCAGATAAAACTTTTCATGCTCATCCTCTGCCAGGATAAAGGGCTTTTTCAGGATTAATTTTACATCAGAAGAAATAACACTGTGTGCTCAAAGGTAATTTATCTGCCTGTGTTTTTCCTCCGTCTTACTAAAATACTGTTGAATATGTAAATTAAAATTTCTATGAATATAGATGTTCATAGATAAGTAAACAACTTCTATGGAGCTTGAAATCCTGAGTTTAAAAGATGATTCAATCATTCATATTTAATATAAATTATATTATGGTGTCTTGTTATTTCAGGCACTCACTGCCATGTGCAAGAATGCCAGTGTGGTGATTTGGTGACTAAATTTTTTTCTGAAAAAGCAGCATAACACCATATCATGCCATTTTCAGAATTTCACGCAAGATTTCTGGAAATCTATACCATTAGCTTGTTGATACTGCACAATGCCTGCCAAAGTGTGCAAGAAGAGGGGCGGGGAGGTATTTGTATTTCCCCTAAATTTTTCAGGTAAATACGCTATCCTGGAATTTCATAACTCCTAAATTTTGAATCCTGTGTTTAGAAAGGATAATATCATAAACTTTAACTAGGTATCAACTTCATGGGGAAATAGTTTACCATCTCTGCAAACTCAAACTTGGAAGAAATCCATATGTGTATGTTATGTGGGGCTCTTTTTTCCATTTCAGAGATCACTAATGAAAGTCCCATATAAATGAGCAAGAAAATAAACTTTTATTGTTTTGTATTACATTTAGTTAGGCAGAATTTGAATGAATACATTTATCAGTTTAATTACTATGCTGCTGTTTATACAGAACACTTCTGATACAAACGAACTATTAATGGACAAATTCTGTGCCACTTGCAAAAGAGCAATAGCTTCTTTCTCATTCTTGCTATTTCATTATACATAGAGTCTTGTACAATTTAAATATTGGCATATTGTTACTTAAAATGTTCTTATGTAAACTTTGATACGTTCCCCATTTATAAATGAACTCACATCAGCTGAAAAAAAAATTTGGCAAAGTTTTTCTTCTTTCCCTCTCAGTAAACGCTCAAGGGGTTACTTGGTACTTGGCTCATGTTTAGGAAGTGATTTATGAAATTATTAAGTTAATTCACTGAAGTTTAAAGCCCAGAGCTCTCTATCCTTGGTTTTAATGAATAAAATCATCTGAGGCTTAGTTTCTTCGCTAAACTACCACGTCCTATCATGTTAACCTTAAACCTTTTAAATACTTGGCAATGAATGATCATTGTAATAATATTTATTTGCATATCCCTGCACCCCCCATCACCACCCCATGCTAAAACAGAGAGGGGATAGATTTGTCCAATTTTTACAGTGCTATTTTATACCATCTCAGAAGGCATTTGCTCCTATCTCGGGTTTACTATTTAGTATAAAGAGTTCCGATTTGGGTATATTTAAGAAAGACTCAGCTGTCAAAAGCAAAGAAACTGGGAATGGTGTTTTGACAACCATATAGTGTTAAAGGAAATACTGTAGTCTGAATAAAATTGCTTATGTTCTCCAAAACAAGAGTAATATAAAAACACTTTTTTATTTATATGAAAAAGCAAAAGCAGAAATAAATTCCAAAGGTTTCCCTTTCTTTAAGAAATTCTGAGAGAACTGCAGTCGCCATCTGTTAAGGGTTGGGAATTGAGCAAGAAGCCACATTTTAAAGGAAAAAGAGAGAAAAGACCAGGAAAGTGTGTGTCTTCCACCCACTCCTTCATCCCACCCCCCAGGTCAGCATCCCTCACCCCCCAGCTCACCCTAGTTAGATTTGTCGAGAGGAGTCCACCAGAGTCCTCCTCGCCTCCTCGCCCCCCTCCCCGCCCCCGCGGGCCTGTTAACCCAGAGCAGATTTGGGAAGGGAAATGTGGCTAATATCTCTAGCAGCTGTCAAAGGAAGGAGATTCCTTCAAAGGAACTGGACAGGGATCCTCCACAAGTTCCCCATTAGTCTTGCAGGCCAGCAATTTGATAAGGAGCCTGGACCTGCACTGCAAGTTGCCTCTCTGTTAGAAGGTCCGGTGTCTGTGTGTCTGGATGCGCGGAGTGGCCCTAGCTTTGCAGCCACCGCCTCCCGCCGCCCACCGAGCAGGGTTGGTGCAGACGTGCGTCCGGAAGCCTGGGAGGGGGCATGGGCAGCGGCGGGGGGCGTGGGGGGTGCAGAGAGCTACCCCTGCCCACACCTGGCCTTGCCTTCGAGTGTGTGTTCGTTAGACAGAGTTAGACGAACGTGCTTCAGACTGATGGGGTCGGGGGGTGGGTGGACCTAACAGTTACAGTTTCAGTGATCAGCTACGGGCGTCGCGCTGGGGACTAGCCCCCTCCGTGCGGCCCGGGCCGCTGGGAGGTGCTGCGCGGTGGCGATGCGGGTCTGATGGGGGAGGCCGGTCAGACTGTGATGAGAATGAAGACCGTCGGGGCAGTGTTTGAAGGGAGGTTTTAATATTAATAGTTTCGGTGTAGAGACAGAAGGGAGATTGCGTCTACAGCTCCTCCGGGCAGACTCTGGGTGACAGGGATGATGGATGATCCGGCAGAGCCCAACAGCTCCTCCCCTCCAGCCCCAACAGTGTCAAAGCTACTTTAGTTGAAGCTTTAGAAATAAAATAAATAAACAGCATCGCCCCCCTCCCTTACTCTTCGCACACCTCCACCCCCAATCCCCGCTTTTCGACGTCGATTTATGGATCATTATGAATCAATTACTGCTCTCGATACCTTCCCACTGGCTTAAATAAAACAGTCGAAAGATGAAAACGTGGGGTTCGGTGGGGAATTTTTTTTTCCCTGCAGGAACAATCACAAAATCCATTATCTCATAATCAGAGACACTGGGTTAGGAGGTGAAGAGAAAGGAAGGGGTCACCCAGTAAATAACCAGGAGGAACGATGGGGGGGGGGTCGCCCAGCTGCTGTCTTTGTTTTATGTCAGATGGGATTGGTTTGTTTGTTGCTTGTTTGGGGTTTTTTGAACGGGGGTGGGGGGGGCGGACTTGCGTGAGAATTAGATGGCTCCAAGTTTTGTGACCTACCTAACTTCTCCGGAGAAACCTATTTGGATGGGTGTCTCGTTGAACATGAGACGTGGTTGGTAGTGAGATCGCACATGGGGAGAGGTGCAGAGGAAGGGTCCGTCTGGAGCGCGCGTTTTCACTTTGTCGTGAGCAACTGTGCGCGGCAGGGTTTTCTGCTGGGCAGGGGGACTCTGCCCTCTCCCCCCGACGTCGGCTGTTTTTGTCGTTGGGACTGGGGTGGCTCTGGGACTGGCCGCCCCCAGTCGCCCCTGCCCCCACCTCGGCCGCCCGAGGCTTTTCTTCCCGCTCTCGCTCTTCCGCGGCGGTGCTCGAGGTTCTCTAGGTGTTTCTATGACTACATTGTGTGTGTGGGAGGGTCACATGTGGGGGTTGCCCGCGAGAGGGCCGTTCCTGGGCGATCATTTATCAATGTCACCCACATAATGATTCTCTCTGCAGCCTCCTATTGATGAGGATAATTACATTAGCTCAGAGTGACTGATCAATGAAAAACCACCACACAAAAACTTCTTTACTCCTCTATAATACCAAAAACCGATACAGAAATAGCAGAAAGCCTGATTTTCTTCCCTTTCCCTATCCACCAATGGATTCGGCGCCCCCCCCCAAAAAAAGGACGGGGGAGTAAAGTAAGAAAATAGACCCAGGTTTGTTTCGTTAAAGGAGGACGTAATTTTGCCCGTGAATGCATTTTCTCTAAATGTGTTGGCTTCATTCCTCCTTTGGTAAAGAATATCAACGGATTTGCTAATGTGAGTTGCTTTTAGACTGGTCTGTGGTTTTCCGTTCTTTTTATTTCTTTCCTCCCCTTTGGGCATTTTTTTTTTTTTTTTTTTTCCCCCCAAAAAAAGGACGGGGGAGTAAAGTAAGAAAATAGACCCAGGTTTGTTTCGTTAAAGGAGGACGTAATTTTGCCCGTGAATGCATTTTCTCTAAATGTGTTGGCTTCATTCCTCCTTTGGTAAAGAATATCAACGGATTTGCTAATGTGAGTTGCTTTTAGACTGGTCTGTGGTTTTCCGTTCTTTTTATTTCTTTCCTCCCCTTTGGGTTTTTTTTTTTTTTTTTTTTTCTGCTTCAAAACAGGAGACAATTCTTTTTATAAATGACTGGAAAAAGAAATCACTCTAGCTCCACTTTTTAAAAAGCTCTTGCCTAAGTCGGGTTATCTTTTGTCTTTATCACTTCATAAAGTAGCGCAATTAAGGGTGTGATGTTGCATGGGCATAAAGGGTGGATCCATTATATGGCGACATAATACGCTATATTGTTGCCTGGAAGTTTGCAGCTAAATTACGATTTCGCTTTCTAGACTTAAAAATCAATATTTTCTCAATTAAAGAGAATTTTAATGCTTTACTTGCGAGTTGTTAAAGGCGCTGTAAATTTTATTGTAATGCTTCTTGACTTCGGAGTAAATGTAGGAGACCGGTTTATTCTCGAGGTCTTTTTTCTCTCAGAGAACCTAGCCCAAGAACGTCCAGTGGTTACAGATCAAATCGAAGCAGCAAAGGTAAGGAGGGTTCCGAGAGGGACCGAGCAAAAGGGTGGGGAGCCTGCCAGGGGAGCCCTCCAGCGCCAGAGGCCATTGTCTTGTTTATTTTCACCTCTCTGTGTCCCGCCTCCTGAAAGTGACAGAGGTGTCCATTTCACTCTAATCTTTCTCAAAGGGGAGCACGTATAACTCCCGTCTGTTCTGTGATGTTCAGAAAGGGAGCTGCATTTGGGGAGCATTCTACTCTCTTCCCAACGCCCTCTTTTTCTCTTTCCTTTACTTATTTCTGCAGATTGTAACTCCGAGCTGGCTCTTTCACAAATCCTGCCCCATTTTAATGTGTGTTCTGGCCTTTATGTCAGAAATCGTTCCCCACCCTCAAGAACACGCACTGTTTACAGATGTTTTCTCCTTCCACACGTCCCACCTAGTAAAAGTTCCCGCAAAGAATTAACTGTGGTGTGTTAATAGCCCAGATCTGCTACTGCTCTCTCCTGCAAAGTTGAAATTTGCTAACTTGCAGCAGGGCATTGAACTAACGTTGGAGAGCAGCTCAAGGCCCGCAGAAGCCCAAAGACTTGAGAAAATTCCAAGGGCCAGGGGCTTGCTGGGAAGCAAGGTAGTGAAACTTTCAGCAAGTAAGGCTCAGAGGAGAAGAGAATGAGGCTAGAATGAAACACAATGAGAGAAGAATACGGCAAGGCAGGAAAATGAGCCTTTGGGATCTCTTTGTAACTTAAAAAGAAATAATAATGAAGAGGAACTCAATATCTATGGCTTGCTATTAATTTTTTTGAACCCAATATCTGTTTAAGAGCAAGTCATTAGAGATGTCAGGAAGGGCCTGAGTTTCCAAATGGAACTACTGTACTCACAAAGTTCCTTTTGCAGTTTACTCTTCAGTTAATTTGCTAGGAATGAGAAGGCTAGGGAAAGGGCTATGTGTGTGGTGTACCAAGGGCTTAAGTAAGAGTATGATGGGAAGCGGCACCTAGATATAATGAGGCTACTGTTTTAATCTGAATAGAAAACAGGGGAATAGACAAAAAGCCACACAACAGCACAATGCACTTCGAAAGATTTCTCACCCACCTGCCTTCCTTTTTCTCTAACCACACGCTGTATCAAGTAGTATACATCGGTGGGGAAAATTTCTAGTTCATCATCTCCTGTCTGCAGACCCACCCGACAGATCCCCCTTCCCTTAGATTCCTAACATGTAAGCCTAGACCATGGCCTTTTTATCCAGTGAGTGGGGCTTTGTTAATGTATTTGTACTTTTCTGCTTTCACTCTAAGTTTCTCGCTTTGGAGGAGGGAGGGGGTGCAAAACGGGAGGGGGAGGGGAGCAGAACACAAAGACTTTATCTAGTTCTCACCAAGCAGGTTTCAAAATAGGAACTTAATGGGAAGAAAGACGAAAGAATTAAAAAAAAAAAAAAAGAGGGGCGTGAGAATTGTTTATTACAACAGGTTTACTTGTCTGGAAGAGAGGTGATTCTGTGAATAATTTTCTCTTTGAGGATTCTGTTTTCCTTATATTGAAACATTTTCAAATTTTAATCCTTTAGCAGACAAAACCTCAGTATGAATATGACATGGGCCACTGGCAAAAAAACGAACTTAAACTCAGTGCTGAGAGGGGAGGAGGTGTGGGGAGGAGGGAGACAGCCCTTTCTGATTAATAACTAGCAGGGTAATGTTGAGGGCTTTTTCTGCCCGATTGCCTTTTTGAATTAGAGCCGATTTCTTCACACTTCAATAGTGCCTGTCTCCTTTAAAATGACTGGCAGATTTGTTTCTCTTTTTTCTCTCCCTGAGACTTAATGATGTAAATTTTCTAATTAGTTAAATCATATTGCTTAAAGGCCTAATACTGACTGCGTAAGAAATGATCATCTTGATTTGAACCTCTTGAAATATTCCGAGAAATAACATTTGGCTTTTAGGTTGAAGGAGGAGAAAGGAGGAAGCTCTGTTACGGGAAGCAGTTTAGAGGAGAGAAGGCACGGACCCCGGCAACATGTTAAATTAATAGTTGAAGTTGAGCTGGGCTCACACCCCAAGTCCGCTTTTATTTTTCAATCAGCGAAGATTTAATTGGCAGCCCTGAGGCCGGGCGATCTGATATTTTCTCATTAGTTTCCCATCACTAATCTTGAGTGTTAGATTGGCTTAAAGGTTGTCAACATTTGACCAATTTTATTTAAGGAGGAAAAAAAAAAAAAATCACGCATTATGGCTCCGGGATGTGAGATCTGCAAATAAATCCTGCTTGGATCAGCGGAACTAACAGGCGAAAAAAATGTTGACTATTCATCGTCGCATTTAAGTTTCATTAATGTATATTTCAAAGCTAAAGAGAGATTATACATGTGCTGCCTAGATGCACATGAAAAAAGAGGTTGATGGGGAAAGGGGTACACTCTGAGCGGGATGGGTAGGTATAGTGAGACGTAGATACATTTCGAACTGAGGGTAAATAACCCAAGTGGAATAGCTGCTGAGGGTTTAGGAGCTACAATCCTCCCTCCCCTTTATTTTGCAGCTGCGTGAAACTGCCCAGCCAGGCTTGCAAACTCTGAGCGGCTCGGCCGGGCGTCTGGTCCAGAGATAACATCAGAGCGCCCCCTGCTGGCCAGCAGAGTAGAACGCTGAGGGTCAGCCCCCTGCGAAGAGAACCGTGTTTTTGCGCCCCCCAACCCTTCACTGACTTCTTTCACCGCCCCCCAACCCCCCAACCTCTGTTTTGCAGCAAAATCCCGCGGCAGGGGAATAGCTTGTCAAGGCTGAACATTTAAATGAATAGATGATAAAAAATAATAATAAAATGAGAAGGAACTCCCACCCTCACTTGTCCTCCAGGGAATAAACTATCAAATGCCTTATCAGAGGGACACATTTTCTTTTTCCAAATCTCTTAAGTCTCTGGGGTTTTGTTGTAGTTTGTTTTTTCTGCCGAACTGTAGATTCCGAGTCCAAGGAAATGTTTTTAATAGACGACGTAGAAGTTTTAAAAAATCGATATGTGATGGGGAAAGAGACCAATACAAAATAATATTTTGCATCCTCGCACAATTAAACTCCCGGGGAAATAGCACTGTTTTAGAGAAGTCCCGAAGAATCGTTTTCGGAATCCAGACAGTTCCTCTGCACCGCAAAGGAAAACCAGCCGCTGTCGGATTCTTTTTTCTTTTCTCCCCTCCAGCCGCCTCCCCCGCTGCCTTTTTTCAAATTAGAGGTGTTTAAAAGTTGTCACCACACACACACACACACACACACACACCACACACACACGCACACGCTCACACGGATCTCTTCCACGTGTGCGCCTACTGTGTGGCCCGTGCTTCTCAATTTTTATGCAAACGGAAAGGGTAGCTGGCGTGCACCAAAGTAAACCACCAATGTCTGTGACGCTCCATCTTACTAACGTGCTTCACGTCCAATGCAAGGTGTGGGACTGCCACTATTTGAGAGTGTTTGGGTCATTTTTCAACGGTCTCGGTGCATGGAGGGGTTTCTCGGCTTCCCAGTGCATCTTCAGTGGGATTTATGAGCAAGCACTGTGTAACGCGAGGGCGCACAGGTAAAGCCAGCCCGGGCCATCTCGGGCTGACGGACGCGCCCACGCCAGCCTGGACGCCAGAGAACAGCACTGGCAACACAGCCCTGACCCAGAAAAGTCTTCTGACCACAGCTAGACCCCCACATAAAGAATGCGAATCTGCAATGAGAACGACTTTAGTTTCTGGGGGAGTTTTTGGTTTGTCTTTTTAAAGGGTTGGATTGCGAGATTTTGTGAAAACAGTTCTCAGAAATGACGTGCGAGGGAAGGAACACCAGGCAGGGAGGACGGCAGGGGAAAGGTGGGTCTATGGACTTTCTTTTTTTGCCAGAGTATCAGGACCCTCTGGTTTAAAAATCCGTTCTCTTCCCTCGCTTCTCCCCACAATCCCCCTGTCACTCTTCCTCCACTCCCCCCTTTGGGGACGTTCCGGGCTGGGGACAGGGACCCGGAGATTCCAGAGGACGAGCGTTCTTAGGGCACGACAGAGGCAGGAGACAGCCCGGGTCTTCACGCCAGTGAAGTGGTGCTTGAGTCCGGTTGTGTCTGAAGAATTGCTGAGGCTATTGTGACAACTGAGGTAAAGCTAAATATTTATACTCCAAGCTGTTATCAATTTTGGGGTCTGTTTTGAAGAGGTTTAATTGCATTCGAATTTACATTAAACATAAATGCTGCTCTGGGGAAGCAGAATCTGCTGCCTGCCACTGGGGTTGACTGTTTGAAAGGTCCCCATTAAGCTGAGAAGTGGAAGGGAAGTTATCTGCAGACCATATGGGTCCATTTAAATGTATATGTTTACGTGTGTATATATCTATATCTATATCTGTATAGCTATCCTTATATCTGTATAAAAGCAATAAAGCAATAAAGACAAGGGGAGAGGGTTCCCCCATTGCAGTTGAATCCAAATAAAAATATATCCAGCAACATACTCTCACAGATGAAGAAAATATAAAAATCTCATTGTATTTGTCTCAGTTCTACTTAATGAAATTTGGAGACACTGACAGTCTGGTCAATGCTCTAAGTAAATTAATGCAAAGGTCCTTAGGAAGAGACAGAACACACCCCCTGCCATTAATCTTAAACCACTTGAAGATTATGATTAAAAGAATGGAATCACTAAGCATTATCATCTCAAATAGATATTAACCACCCCCACCCTTTTGTTGTGACAACAAAATAAACTCTCCACTAAGAATGGTGTTTCTACCATTTTTATCTTTGTTTTTGTTTTGCTTTAAGGGCAAAGAAGGAAAAACAGAAGCCAAGAAAACTCTCCAAAGTCCTGGAATTGGTGCTGTTACAAGGGCTGCTATTCATTTCTGACTTCCTCACCTTTTGCTACAAAGGAAAAAGAAATCGAATGATGTGTCTACATTTGACGAGAAGAAAACACTAACAATAGCAGTGTAGGTGTGTTTGCTTTTCTTTTTCTCTGAAAATAAATATTTTCAATATTCACCGATTTAGCAAGTTGAAAGCTGTGGAGATGTAAAGGATGTTCGCTTGTTCACATCTATTCGTTGACTTTCATCGCTTGAGTTTTGTAGGCTTTTGTATCAAATAGAAATTGTGGGAAAGAGAATTAGACATTTGTCAAAGAACAATATTATACGCTTTAAAGTAACTCCACCTAATCCTGCATCTGAGGGCTGACAGAGAGGAGCAGGGGGTACCGTTTTCCCCTAATAAACCCCAAATCCCCATTAGACAGAGAAAGAGGGATGACAACTCATAACTGGGCGTTCTGACAGAAATGGAAGCGGCGCCTCTCTGCTCCTAGGAAAGGACGCCCCCAAAATATGCAAAAGCCGCTATGTTTTCCTGTAGAACCCTGAGATGGATGGACCTTTCCGAGAAATACACAGTAACATTTTAAAAAGCAAAATGCCGAAATGAAGAGCGATGGCTAACAAAAAAAATAAACCATGCTAAAAATTATTCTTCAACCCTGGACATTTCCAGATGCCACAGAAAATCAGTGCAAAGGCGCCCCCTCCTCACTGAGCAGACAGCTCTCCCGCCGGGTGGGGTTTCCACCTGAAAGTGGAATTGGAGAGGCCACCTCCGCTAGGGCCAGGCAAGCTGGTACCCCGAGGCTCCGGGAGCGGAGGGAGGGGACGTCGCCCTCCTTCCAGCTTGCGCTTTCCACCTGTTCTCTCCGCCCCAAGCTGGGGCGCGGGACAGACCAGGAGCTGGAACGATTCCGCTCCGAGTCTCCAAGGGGTACTCGAAGCTACTGAGGCTCTTTCCAAAACAAGGAGGAAACCCAAACAGGTCCCCAAAGGCCGAAGACCTCGCCGCGGGGTCCGAAGCACGCGCAGCGGCCTGCCCTGTTCCCCGGCCAGGTTCCCGCGCCCGGGTGGACAAAAGGCTCACAGGCCACGGTGGTCCCGGAGCGAGTGTGAAACGCAAGGGAAGAAGACAGTGTCCCTGCTGCGCTACGGGATGTGTGTGTGTGTGCGTGTGTGTGTGCGTGTGTGTGCATGTGTGTCTGTGTGGTGTGTGTGCGTGTGCATGTGTGTGTGCGTGGGGGGGGGTGCGTGTGTGTGTGTGTCTGTGCATGTGTGTCTGTGTGGTGTGTGTGTGCACGACAACACGTGCACCGATCCGGGCCCCCGGCGACAGACGTCGACTGGGGACGTTCGCCCCCGCCGCTTCCCGGGCCCTGCACTCACACTTCCCCCTGCCCCCGCCCGCTCGCCTCGGCCACCCCCAACTGCCCCCAAACCCTGGGCCACGCCCGGACAGGTGTGCCGCCTCTTACTAGAAAGCGCCTAGGAAAAGATCCGCCCGAGGAAAGGCGCTGGCGGAGGAGGAAGGGACTGGGAAGAAAGATGGTACTTCTGGAAGTCAGACATCCCCATCTTCGAGTAATTGTCACACACAATCTTTTCACCCTGATCTACGGTATCCAAAAGCAGAGACAGATTCGCGGAGAAATTGGGCTCACGAAAACATCGGGATTGGGCGCGGGCTCCTGAGACCTGCGCAGGCTTTGCTTAGGTACAAAAGTATGATTTTAATTTTGTTAATGAAGGCGCGCTCTATAGCTCGGCTGCTAATGGCTATGCTGAGTTTAATAGACTTCTGTCGAACAGAAAAAGACGGATAACTATCGGGTGTAAAGAATCTGCTCTAATGCAATTATTTTCCCAGGTTCGAAAGTCATTGTGCGGAGAGGGCAGGAGTGAATTAAGGCCCCGGGGACTGCGGACGTGGGGCAAAGAGACTGCCTGAAATACGAGCTGAACCTGTTTTGTGAGATGCACTTGGATTTGGGAGTCGGGGTCGAAGGCTTCAAAGCCTTTGGCCTGCACGTGTGAATCTCTCTCTCTCTCTCTCTCTCTCCCCTCCTCCCCTCCTCTCCTTTCTCCCTCTCTGCTCTCCATTTCTCCTATTTATCTCTCTAGTTCCCTCTTCCCCTTTCTCCTCACCTCCCCCGGATTACTGTTAATTTCCTCTCCCCCTCCTCTGTTTTGCTTGTCTTTGTGTGTTTCAGTCTGATTCCTTAAGTCCAAAGTATTTCTCTTAAACACACTCACACAGAAGTAAACTCTTGGGCTGTGTGAGCCCAATTCAACTTTCGAAATCCAATAGAATTGGGATGCTTAAGATATTGATGAAGCTGTGTGCGCACACGCAATCAGTGGATTGGGAGGATTGTTTCTATGTAAATAAGGAGCCAATCCAGATCACTGTCCAAAAGTAGCCCCATTGTACCTTTAATACAAATTATCTTTTTATTATCACCTTCGTATTATTAACTTTTAATACAAATTATCATTCATGGCAATCATCCAAACTCTTCTCAGCCTCAAACTCTCCACTTTGCCTGGTAAACACAATCTCGGGCAACTGTATTTTAATAAATAGAAATAACAATTTATAATTTCCTTTCACACAGAAAACAAATCAGATCGACCAAAGGAAAGCCCCACATTCTCACCTAGAGGAAGGATTTGAAGGCAGGCAGGCCTGCAGGCCAGAGGGGTTAGCACTGGGCAGCCCAGCCAGGCACCCTGTCACCTGGTTCTCTAGCCTGAACCTCTGCCCACTGCCACGCCACCCCACTCTTCTGTCCAGCCTCTCTCCTAGTGCTGAGGAGCAAAGAAAGTTGGAACTGGTGCACAAACAGTGTTAAATAATCCTCAAGACGCGTCTATGCCAGACCCCCAGGTGAGGTGAGAGTAGCTAGGTGTGGTGCATCTGACTGGAGTTCCACAAACTGACTTGGTCAAAGATTCCTTAGCCTTGAACATCCCCCCTTTCTCCCCTCACTTCCCTCTGTTACACTCACAGCATGCGCACAAACAACCACTATCACCTCTTCCCTGACTCAATTGTACCCAATCATACATACCCCATTGCCCTTCACCTTTGCAGCCTGGACTCACAAAAAAGGAAGAAGAAATCAAAACAAGCAAAAACTCACTTGCAACCCCCATGCAGGTCTCCCCTGCTGAGGAAAAGCACAGCTAGTGGCCGACACAAAAAGTTGGGGTGCAGGGAGCAAGGTCCCCGGCTGCTCCAGGCCTTGCAGTGGGCATCTCGGCTGGAAGGTGGGGGTTGGGTAAGGTGGGGAGGGGTGTGCTTTTTACCTTGCCCTTCCTCCACGCTCTTCCTGGGCTTCTGGGAAGGGAATTGGGAAGCGATCCTGTCCTCAGGCTGCGACTCCCAGGACTTGGCGAAGCAGCACAGCGTGGCCACCACCGAGTTGTGAGTTGCGCTGGTATGACTGTGGGGGAGAAAGCCTGCGGCCAGGAGAGCCGTGTCCAACTCCTTAAGGCTCACCTCATGTACCCTTTAGAAATAAGAGAAGGTCGCTCAGCAGTGGCCGGCCCCAGCCCACACCAGCAGCCTGGTGTTTGGGTGGCACCAGGGACAGAGGGTCTGCCTCTGGCTCCAAATGCAGATTTGGAATGTGAGAGAAAGGGTGGCTGTAGGAGTCTCTCTCAGCCCCCCTTTCATCCCTTCAAAGGGCATGCCTGCAGGAACCGCCATGTTGTTTTGGTGACCCAGGAGAGCAGCAGGAAAGAAAGAAAGCACCCAGAAAGCCCCCACAAGCTCTAGGTGGGTCTAATTCTGCTTTTAAAAAGTAGGTAGGAGAGGAAAGAGACTCTATTACCTAACAATGAGTTTTCCAAGATCCCCTCAGCCAGGCAAGGTTGAGAAGAGCTTGGTAGACGATGAGGAAAAGCCAATTACCTTCACCCCAAGAAACCTGGATAGAACAGGAGTCACACCCCCTTCCCAACCGCCCCCCACACCACCAGCTGAGAACTCCTTGCAAAAAGTCCCTGCCTGGGCCACTTGTTCAGATCTCCTAGCCTCTCGGCTCTCTCAGGGAGTCCATCCTCACCTCTGAAGCCACTAGATTAGGTCTGGAGAAACACAAGGAAGGCCCAAAGAGTTAGGTATGCTTTTCCCTCATTTACCCTCCTACTTTAAACGTCAGTATTTTAGTCTTTTAAAAAATTAAAGTATTTAAAAAATTAAAAGTATTTTAAATGTTTCTTTTCTTTTCTTTTTTTTTTTTGCAGTAAATCCTTTTTATTTTGCAGTATAATTGTATTCACATAGAATTAAAATTTTAAAAAATTAAAGTATTTAAAAAATTAAAAGTATTTTAAATGTTTCTTTTCTTTTCTTTTTTTTTTTGCAGTAAATCCTTTTTATTTTGCAGTATAATTGTATTCACATAGAATTAAAGTGTAAAATGTATCTTTTCTCCAGCTGTGCTTAGACATGTTTAAAGGACTTCCCTGAGCACAGTACACTCCTAAATATCAAAACACTCAAGTATAAGATTTAAGGATAGAGAACACTAAGAGTGCCTCGTGTCCCCTTCCACTGCCTTTACATAAATAAGGTGGGTCTCAAGGATATCTCAGGCAACAAGAGCTCCTGAAATAAATTAACCAATACACAAAAATAATGCTTTATTGTATCTTTAAATAAGTTCCCCTAAAAGAAGTTAGAAGCAAATACCTAATTGCAGAGTTAAACTTTTTCTGCTTCTTCATTCATCCAGGTCTTTTACATTTTAATACAGATTAAATAATCTGCTCAAGAGAGGTGATATTGCCCACCACAACAGAGCAAAGGCAGTTGTTTCTACTTTGAAGCTTATCCGCGGGCTAGGACTCTTTGAATGTTCAAGTGAAGTGTAAATAGAATAAGGTCATAGGTGATTGACAAGTTCAAGTTACTTAGCTCAATTATCAAAATTTTATTTCTAAATTATGTTCAATTTGATTTTCCTGCTTGCTGTAAATGACCTTAGAAAATCCAATGGGAGCAGACAATTTATACCATGTCCTATGTACTATGATTTACTTGTAAAATCATTTTTTGATGTATGCCTCCTTTAATGTTTCTGTGGAGACCAAGTCATTCTGGTCACATTTAGAAATATAGCTATCAAAAAAAAGAAAGAAAGAAAGAAATATAGCTATCATGCTAATTCAAAGGCAGTCATGTTAAAGACACAATAATTATTAGAGTTTGACAATTTTCTGAAATATTTCTAAATTTCTAAACTGCAAGCAGAACCTCCAGGCCGTTCAGAGTCTAAGTCTCTGGATATTAGCATGAATATTCAATGTCCAGCTATGTTCAGTATCAATCTATCCAAGCAATAGGTAAGAGTGCAATTTGTAAATATGTATCCTACAACTCACTTCTAACTTAATATCTCAAAGTTCTCCTATGCACTACTTAAAAGATAACCAACCTCTTCAGATGAAGGCTCATGCTGCCAGTCTGGAAATCCTTCCTTTGCTCTCTCTCTCACCCCCCACCCCGCTCCCCAGCGCCAGTGAGAGAAATAGCTGAAGCTTTCCCTTCCACCATATTATGACAGCATCAGCTTTATAATAAGCAAGAGGCACTCCTATTTAAATATACAAGATGACTCTTTATTTCACTTATGTTTTCTGTTGGAGGGAAGTGAAAGAGCACCACCCTTATTAATTATAAGATCGATGGGGTGAAAAAAGCCAAATGAATTTGGCTCACAAATTTTCAGTAGAGGTATGAATATTTGTGACTGTGCCAGGAACTGTAGTCATGAACCCTGGGTATCAAGCTTGGGAGACAGTCAGACCAATGCATTCCTTGAGGGTTCAGTCTTCCCAAATCTGACTTGACATAAATGGAAACTTCTAAATTAAACCCAGGGTAGTTTCCCATCAATTCCTTTTTCTTCCTTTTTTTTTTTTTTTTTTTTTTTTTTTTCTATTCTCACTAAACACGCACTTACTTCAAGTATCCTCCATTGTAAGCTTTAAAAACTTTTAAGGTGAAAGCAGATACCTATAAGTTTTTTGAAGAAAATTTCCGTATTTTCCCCACTTGCATTCATTTGTTTTAAATCAAGTTTATCTGTAAAATATCTGTGACACGCATTTGTAAGATTTAAAACTACTTTTCCTTAGTGTAAAAGTATTGGAAACCTAAAATAGCCTGAATATAGAAAAGTTTTAAATAGACACGACCTAAGTTACAAATAGAGAGAAAGGAGAGGGAAAATGGCAATGGAAGACATGAGAGGAAAAGTTTTCTATTTCTTTGCTTGTTTTTTCCTTCTTATGCACCATACTTACTCAAGCTTTCATCCCAAAGTGAAGAAATTTAAATGAAAGGTGAAGGCAGAAAGGGTCAAGGTAAAAGGGAAAAGCATCAAAACAATAAATAGAGAAAGTTGATGTTTCTATTAATACAAAGTTTTGTTTTATTTTCAGTACTGAGATCTATTTATCTTGAAGGTAGAAAATAGACCTCATTCTGGCCTAATCAATACAGACATCACAGATCAATAACAAATCTTCATATTGGCAAATCTTCTTTTGATTATCCATTTAAGCGTTTTGTAGTGCTTTGGAATAGGAGTTGGGGGGTTGAGATTTAATGAGCTCAACTACTGTCTCATCACCAGTTTCTTTTCTGAAAAAGAATTGTCGAGTGGCAGCTGACCCAATCCTGTGAAAACAGTTCATTCTGACATCACAGCCAGCTTAGCGCATACATTTTGAAAAGGAAGACAAGTTGTTTTCAAAACAGAAATGCTAAGTATTCTAAAAAGCACAAGCAATTTAAAAAATATTCTTCAAATTTTCTGCAAAATCTCCCAACTACATATATATTTTTTCACAATTGTAAGTGGATATTTGTGCTAAATCGATGCTTTATGTGTATCCTGTCTCATTTTGTCTGTGCACTGTAAAGATATAATTTTTTTTAGGAAGCGATATCACTGACAAGAATATACTTAAATTCACAAACCTTGA